AATTCCAAAATATTGGATGAAGTGCTCACTTCCTCTGGTTCCCCCTCCCCCTTTTAAATTGAACCCACAGCTTGTGACCTTGTTATGGCTTTCTTGGGCAGAAACCAGGGGAAATTCTGTGGTTAAGGCCATTTTATGTTTTTTCCTTGCTCTAGTAAAATTGGAAATGGATTTAAAAGAAAGAGAGAAAGAGGAAGAGAGAAGAGCAAAACTTTTCTGTAGGAAGGTAGTGAGATTTGCACTGCAGTCTTTTCACTTGCTTGTTCTTATGAGGGATTTCCCTCATTTTTAAATTCACTTCCCGTGGAAAAATCATTAACCCATGTGCCACAAGGTAGAGGTGGGGGGTGGGGGTGGGAAGTGGCCCTTTCAGGTCTCCCCATCTGCCTCTTGGTTCTCTCCCCAGGCCACACTATTCACTAGCCCTATTTTATACCCACTTTAAGAGTTTTTACATGGCCAGAATGTGCCCCTGAACTCTGTTAATGCCTCTTTAGTCCGAGGGCTACATTCCTACTGGGACACCCTTCTGAGGGCCACATACCATTAGTGGATGAAGCCGTATACAAAAATGGGCAGGACAATGGATGTAAAATTTATCCGTTATATTGTAGGCCAGTTTCTACTCACACTCACACATCCCTCTTAATCCTCCACCCAGACAAGCAAGAGGCATGATCAGAGTTCAAGGATATATTCTACCAAGGCAAAAAACACTTGGTGTCACTTGTGTAGGAGCAGGGCTTGTTATGGGTGTGACCTGGGGAAAGTTCTGAGAGCCAGAAAGAGAGGCTTTAAAACACTGAAGTGATAATCTTGGGCATCCAAGATAACAAGGCCACGATTAAGATGTTTGTAAGAACATAAGATCATAAGAAGGCCCATCTAGTCCAGAATCCTGTTTTCATAGTCACCAACCAGATGCCCTAATGGGAAGTCAGAAAGCAGGACCTGAACACATGAACACTCTCCCCACATCCACCATGGCTATTAGTCATTGATAGCTTTCTTTTCCATTAATTTGTCGAATGCACTTTTAAAGCCAAGCAAGTTGGTGGCCATCACTATACCTTCCACAGTTTAACTATGTGTTGTGTAAAGCCGTCCTCCCTTTTGTATGCCCTGAATCTTCCAACATCCGGCTTCATTAGATGACCCTGAAGTCTAGTGTTATTGGAGGGAGGGACTTCTCTTTGCCCACTTCCTCCAAACCATGCATAATTTTATACACCTCTATCATGTTTCCTCTTAGTCACATTTTCTCTGAACTAAAAAACTTCAAATGTTGTAACTTTTCCACATCGCTCCATTCCCCTTGATAGTTTTCACTTTACTTTTCTGAACAGTGGTCCTCTATTGATGTGGTAGACTCTGTTTGAAGAACAGTTTTCTTCCCTAGCCAGATGTTCTGGTTGTACAAAAGAAAGCACAGGTGCAGTACGACTATTGTGGCAACTTTTAAAAAGTCCCTGATCTAAATCCTACCTAAGGAACGTTCAATAATATTATACTCATTAGAAAAAGAATAAGTCACCAGAAGTCTGTAATAAATTATTTCCTTTTAATTGTTCTCCAAGTCCAGCATGAAGGAATGCCATTCTATTCTGGCAAGAATATTTTCACTTGCTGCCCCTGAAGTCAGACCACAGTGGGTACATTCAAATTCAATACACAGGGCAAAAGTCAGAGCTGATATGTCTTTTGAAAGTTAAATGTCCAATTTCTGTAAGGGCACAAGGGCTGCTCCTCACTGAGCTGTTCACTTTCACCTGCACTGTTCTGTCCCGGAGTAGAAAATACCAACAACATAGATGTAAAAATCATTGGAAAAGAAAATCCAATGGGCCTCATAAAATGAAGGCATCTCTTCTCATTGCCTGAAGCAATCCAAATATATTCGCTTCTTCGGCTTGCATTTAGCATGTAGTGTCCTTCAAAGTCTCTTTCTTTGTTTTCAGAGAAAAACCAATAATGCATGTATCTTGTACATCAGGGACAAGGAACCCCATTCAGCCCAAGGGCTGCATTCTATGATGCGGAACCTGGGGGCGGGGGCAATATGCCAGTGGTGGGTGGGGCCAGAGTCGAAGGGGCAAGAGCACCAGATGTGACTTTTGCCTTTGTATACTAGGTTATATTCCCAGCACAAAAGTCATTAAAAAAATGTGAGCATACACCCCCACTAGGCAAAGCACTGCATGTTGGATGCGGACTGGGACAGGCAAGGGTTGTGGCCTGTACAGAATTCCAGGGGCCAGATAGAAGGCCTGGGGACTGATTCTGTTCTGTCAAAGCAATCAAATCTAGCCTGTTTCATACTTATTTGATTAATTGTGCTATCTTAAGGTATTGTAAATGCTGTTTCATGGGAACATTTAGGAAATCTCTTCCCTCTCAAAGCTTCTTCAGTGTGTTTGTTTGTTTGAGACCTCAACTTCCTATTTCTGTACATTTCAGATGCAGCATGCAAAGTTGCACTGTTTCAAATACATTGCTACATAAAAGACAAGGACCTGGAGTGGTAGAAGTGCTAACACATGCCCTTTAGAGGCAGCTGAAATAATAACAACAGCAGCAGCAGCAGCAGCAGCAGCAATGAATTATTATTAATAGTTGTGAATTTTATTTCATTTATGAATTACTTTCCGTGAAGCATCTCAAAGTGATTTCACAGTACAGATAGATAGATAGATAGATAAATAAATAAATAAATACGTATTTAAAAACCATTTCAACCCACTCTTGACATCTTTTGAGATTTGCTACAGTGATCATGAAATTTGAACACAGATGCAAGTTTTGGTTAGCATTAAGTGTATGAATTTCAGATTGTGTGAAATGTTCTGTTTCCCCACAAAATGGCTGTATGCTCAGAATTTCTTTTAAAGAAATCCTCACCTGTTCATCGTATAAAAGCAAATACTTTTATTGCACATTAGAGACTAATTGTGTATGTGTGTGTGTGTTGAATGGCAGAATGTTTCTTGGACTAGATGCATTAAGGGTTACCTTTGGTAGACAGGTATACATACACATGGATTTAGAGGTGGGAGTGTAAACAGTGACGTCAGGTGGAAATAAAATGCAGAAAAAAGAGTTGCAATCTGGATTCAATTAAAAGTTTGAATGTATGCAAAATGAGCCCAATGGTCATTCACAGTAATTACCTCTTATGGGACAAGAAACTATTGTCTTGGTTCAAGTCCAGATGAATAGAATCAAACTTAATTATCAATCCTAATTAACCTATTTCATGGAGGAGTTTCCCTTGGGGATTATAAATTGTACGACATCTTCAGAAGATAACCACATGGTCAGGATAAGTAGCAGTTTTTTGCTAGTGTGTTTTCTACCCACAAGTGACTATCTGGCCTGTGATGGTCATGAATAGAGTCAAATGAATGGACTGGCGAGTTTTTCACATCCAGCTTTTAACAGAGAATGTATATCTAGGGGCTTGAAAGACTGCTTGACCAATGTAGATACACCATTTTATATAGTGAGAAATTACCCGGGAATAGAAAATTTCAGATGTGGGAACCATGGACTGACTCCTTCAATAGGTACGTTGGGGAAAGTGGGGTGGAATTTGGGGCTGGTGGGCGTTGCAAGGCAATGTATCTTCTGGACCATTTCCACCCTAAAAATTATTCTCAGCTCCCTTTAGTAAACAGTGGCCTCAGTTGGCAGTTAAACAGTACAAGAGTTTATTTTTATTTCTTGGAATTCAGTAGACCTGAAATGGCTGTTAAATGTTAACTTTCAAAAGACACACACATCAGCATTCTCGGCCACAGTGAAAGTGAAGGTGGGGACAAAGTAGGCTGGAGAATTAGAGGAGTTGTAGATTTTTGTTTTGTTTCAGATGCTTCCAGAACATACTTGCTGTTCCAGCCACCTGTTTCTAAATAAATTATGCACCTTGTAAAGGGTGTGTTTGTGCCTTTTTGTGATAGATTCCACCCTTGTGGTAGCTCCTTTTCTTTGTCAGATAGTGATCCCCTGTCACTACTTTCCTAAACCTCTTCTTGAAAAGCTCTGCTCAGTCTTTCATGGAGACATTTAATAGAATATATAGACAGGGTGGCTAATCTGCAACTTAGAGACAGTGATTTCTACTGGATTTGGGGAGCTTTTCACTGCCCAGTAACTGTTGAGCAAAGGGGGGGGGGTAATGTGAAGAAATTATAGCACTTCTGAGAGAGTAGAGGTGGAAATCTCCCCCTCTCATCATTGGGGCATGCTGGCTAAGGCTGATATGACTTGGAGTGCCAAACAAATTTTTTTTTGGGGGGGGGGCATATTTACTAGCTCTGCAAATTCAGTTTATTGACACACACATAACAGCACTTTCCCCCTCTAAGAGACCTTGTGCTCCATTTTGTAAGTCATTTCAAAATATTCACACATATGTAAGCAAGCAAGGATAATTTGTTACATTGCCCTTGTAAAGGTTATGGTAAAGCCTAATGAGTTAGCTTACTGGTTTTTCTTAACCTAAAATATGCCCATGTTGAAAGTGCTGCGTCTGACAGTGAAAGGTCTTCTTATTGTCTTTGGGGACATATTGCCTTTCTAGGAACTTTATGGAGCAAGGACTCTCTCCTTTATTTTTATTTTTTTTAATTGCTATTACTCAAGGCTTACACTCCAACCCACTGGATATAATAGGAGGAATCCGGTTGGTGTCAAAATGGAATCCACAAAGCCAGGCTCTTGAGTTCTTAGAAGCAGGGTTCCAATGAAATCTTTATATGTTTGGTATCACGTTGTTAAAAGTGGTGGGTATCTAGTGCTTTTTGGCCAAAAATAGCATAACTACTTTGCTAGTACATTGTCCAAGTGAATGCTAATATGCACATGATTTTCTTTCTTTCTTTTAAATCAAACAGCAATATTAATGTGGACGTGTCTGTGTGGTCTCCTGATTATGCATGCTTCCTGGGATAATGCTAGCTTTGATGTTTTTGCATGTGCTTTTTGAGCCTCCAAGGAACTTACATCACCCAGAGACCTAAAATTAGGATGAAAGTCTGTGGATGCAACCTTTGGGGTGATTTATATACACACATGTGGCCAGTGGTCCTAAGCGTTTGCCACAAAGCCAAGTGGCAGGTATAGTACTTGTAGTCTAGATACAGCAGTTTAATTACCATAAACCTCCAAATAAATTAAGTTGTTTCAAGGAAAGAACATAGTGAGCCAGTTTGGATGATCAGATCTCAGTTTGATAAATATGCACTGTGATTAGAAACCTCTAATAGGGGGTTGTATCCTATTCTTGTCCTGTACAGAGCAGACCCATTGAAATTAATGGATGTGATTAATTTAGGTCAATGGGTCTAGTCTTGAGTAAAACTTGGTTGGATGCAACCTATAATTCTCCATTCCATCCAGCCTGGGAAACTATAGTTACCAGCTTTGTCACAAGCCAGGATCATAGAATCATAGAATTGGAAGGGACCAGAAGGGTCAACTAATCCCAACCCCCTGTAATGCAGGAATCTTTGGCCCAACGTGAGACCACCTTCAAATAACTTAAACCACCTTCAGATAAGTTAACTGTATCTTGGCTTGCACCTAAGTGGTTAACCATGTTTTTCCCCAGAAATGGTTGTAGGGTTTTTAAACTTCCTGGTTTGTTTACTTTTGTACCGTGAAATAGTTGCATGTACTAGCGAAAGGCTTGTGCTTTTTTGGGGGAGGGTACAGGGAAAGCACTGTATTGCTAGTGATTCAGAAAGGGGCAAACACAATGGTTTTCCACGACCCGACCACGATGAAAGCCAATTAGTACAAGCATGAGCTGGACTAATCTCAGAAACAAGCTCCTCCCACTTTGAAGAACACACAGAAACCACTTTATCAGTTGTGCATAACTGCTCCACCGTCTCTCCAGAATGGCTTCCAGAATGGCTCCAGAAATTTGTGTATTAAGTGGCAAGTAGTAGCCTCTTTGATCGCCTGGACCAAGGGCATGGGGGGACTGTGGCCCTCCAGATGCCCTTGGACTCCAGCTCCCACCAGCACCTGCCAGGTTTGCTCCAAAGAAGAAAAGAAACAAGGCTCTTAGCAGCAACTGGTCCATTTTAAACGCTGTTGTGCAGATAAAGAAAGGATGACTTCTAAGTACAGCATGGGAGCCACTATTCCAAAATACCAAGTGAGCACATTCTCTTCTGAGACATGACTCAATAACTGAGATAAACAAAAGGAGGGAAAGGGTGAGGGAGGGCAGGAGTTAGACAGTAAGTCGGCGCGGTTACAAAGGTCATAGTTGTGCAACCTTGAAGGTACTAAATATATGCTGTATTTAGAAATAAATAACATCAGCTGTTTCGTGCCTAATGATACAGTCTTTGCTTCAGAGGCATGATTTAAAGGAGGATGGGGTGAGGTTTTAAAGGAGGATGGAGTAAGTTCAGGGTGCTTTGCTCTGTGTGCTTTATAGAACTGGAAGTCGGAGGACAGGAGCCAAGGCACTTTGCCCATGCCCAGTAATTAAATATGGCACAAATAAATGAAGAAAGGGGAGAGAAAAGAGGCCCCTGGGTCACCCCCTTTTACCATTTAAAAAGAGCAATATATTCTCTTTTTGGCTTCAAGGACAAAAAATGTGGTTCAAGTTAGACTAGAGAACTGTGGATACAACTGGTCATGTATTTGCAGCCAGTTCAATCACCAGGTAGAAATGTAAGCATTGCTAATTGCTTTGCATCAGGGCAAATGCAGGAAGAAGGAGAGAGTTGCTGCAACCGTACCCTCAGAATAGTTTACACGTATCAGTAGTTCTGAGGAGCCACCAGATCCAGTCACCTCTTTGTCCTTCAGACATACCCGCCGCCCCCCAAATCACCCTCAGGGCTACAGGAACAGAGCCAAGCAGAAGCTTCAATGCTGTCAGTAAAGTGGCCAGCTAGATAGCTATATGGGAGGTTACTTGGGAGGTGCATGTAAGAACTTGCCTAGATCAGGGTCTGGCTGAGGGCCAGGAAGGGTTGGAGTTCAGCTCTCCTATATAAGCTCTCAGTCCGAGCCGCTTGAACTGCTGAAGTAATAATTTGTAATTTGCAAGCCTTAGGCTTCCAAATTTAGCCTTTCTGGACTGAGGGAAATGAATGGGGGTGAACTGATTTGACGGGCTAGCTCAGTTGGCAGAACATGAGACTTACTAATCTCAAAGTCATGGGTTTGAGCCCCATGTTGGGCAAAAGATTCCCACATTGCAAGGGGTTGAACTAGATGACCTTCATGGTTCCGTCCAACTATATAGTTCTCTGATTCTGTATGCTCTTCAAAGAATGTAAATTTGAAAAAGCTGCAATTGTATTTCAGAGCTCTGCAAGACTGTTGAAACCGATCAGAAATGTGTGGATCAGTTCTGCTGCGCTGTCAAAATCTCAACATTTTGCACCAATCTATGTGAATGCCCCTGTGTTTAACGATTCTCCTTTGTTTTTCTTGATGCTGAAAGCTGGATTTATCATCTGGCTTTGGTCTCAAGGCTGTTTCTCCACTGATCCTGTCTGTACCCCCTCCTTGAACCATTTTTGGAACAATCAACAATTTAGTCTAAAATCATGCTGGATGTTTGGGCTGGAAAGCTTAGTTTATTTTGTCCCTCTTTTCAAGGACTTAAGATGTTGCTGCAGGCAGCAGTTAGTCTAGAGAAAGCGGGCTAATGGCTAGTCCGTGATGTTTGTACTTTATAAAATATTGTTTTCGAAGCTTGTTCCCTTGGTTCTGACGCCAGCCAGCCCTGTGAACTTGAGCAGTGATGTTTGATCAAGCTGACTCATTGCTATCAACCTCTGTTTCCTTGTATGTAAAACAGGATTAATAGAAAGATGTATTGGTTTCCAGATGTTACAAAGAGCTAAGTACCATTGCTCAAATATTTTATGTGTTAAATCCTTGCAGTTGTAGGAGAGCATTCTGATAGGTTGCTTTTTTTATTTATTGGAATACCATGTGCAAAAGGGACAAGAGAGACAGCCAGCTTTATAAGTGTCAGCTTTGCCTGTTTTGACACTGGATTTCATGGAGGTACTTTTGATGTATTCTTCTTAGCCATAATGATTTTTGTTTTGTCTAACAGATTCATCTTTAGCTCAGTGCTTTAATTTCAAAGGGCTTTCAAGCCCTCACCTTGAAAAGGCTATTGGTGAAACAGAAATGTCTGAAGGAAGGAGTGACTTCAAATAGTTTTTGGAGAGGAGCATACTGGATATTTTGCTAGTAGCAGCAAAGGCAGATTTCTCCCCTTCTGCCACTTCACAAACATTACATTTGTCATAGCAGTAATGACAAGTATTCTAAGGTGTGGGTTCTCTGTTGCATTTACGTTTTGTAGTGCTTTGTGGCAAAGTGTGGGGGCTGTTACTGTCAAGAAACAGTACTTTGCCAATAGACAAAACTAAAGAGCAATGTTTAAGTAATAACAAGCAAGTTTGCAGAAAAGCTAGCCCATTATATGGAGAGCAAGGAAGGTTTTAAACTGTTGCCTAGAGAGGCAAAGGGTCTAGTGGGCTTTCTTAATACATATCACAGCACATTCCTTGGAAGGCCTTGGGATTATAGACTGGATGCTTTCCAAAAACTTAAAAGAAATTTTTAAAAATCCTTTCCCTCATGTAAAGAATGTGTGTTTTGAAAGTAGAGGAACTGAGTCAAAGTTTGCTTCTCTGCACAATTACTAGCATGGGAGATGTGTGCGGCATTCTGAATTTATAAATAAGACTTAAGTGGTTCTTAGGGAATTGTCCTCCCCTTCCAAAAAACCCCCCGTTAGAACATTTGGCATATTTAGCTGAATTAATGGATAAACTAAATGGAAAATACAGCTTTTAAATACTTCTGTAGGTGCAAACCCTTTGTGGCTTACAAAATAAATGTTTGTCTTTTTTGCAAATATCAGTCCAAAGCTACTTATTTTGGAAAAATTAGTGGCACTCTCCATTTTGCCTGTTTAAAGAATAGTTTATAAAATTTACATTCCTTTAGAAATGGGGTGTGCTTCTCATTACTATTTACTAATTACTCTTATGTTCTTGACTGACTGTTCATGCTGTAGATGCAAAACCACTTGCGTGTTCACCTTAAGAACGTAACATGCAATGTGGAAAATAGACTGCCCTTGAGATCTTGTTGGACTTCACTTCCTATCAGCCATAGCCAGGGATGATGGCAGTTGTAGGCCAGCAACATCTGGAAGGCCACAGCCATTTCCCCGCCCTGGTATTTATACCATTTATATTCTGTACCTTCAACATGATCATATTTGCAGACTGCTGGCAAAAATGTAGTAAAAGCAGTATACCGTACAAAATAATCAAACTAGCTAAACTAGTAACAAACCTCTAGAGGCCTCAAAGCTGCATTTAAAGTTGGGGGGGGGCCTCAACAAAGATCTCAAAATATTTTTTTAAAGCCTAGGGAAATGTTTTAGCTGGACATAGTCAGACCATTGCCACATCTACGGCAATATTTATGTTGCTTGGCAGCAGCTTACCATAATTCACGTGGGTCATCTGGTTGTAACTTTGAGCACCCACTTTCCATGCAAAAGGTCTCTTCAATCCATGGCATCTCCATGTTGGGCAAGGAGATGCTCCCTGTCTGAAACCTTGAGGAGCCACTGCCAATCAGTGGAACCAATACTGAGCTAGATGGGCCAATGATCTGATGTGTAGGATAGCTTCCTATATTCTTAACTACTACCACGGGGGTAGTCAACATGGAACCCACCAGATCTGTGGACTACTATGAAACTCTCCCAGCATGGCTGATGCACTGGAATGATGTGGAGTTGCAGACCACAACATCTGTAGGGCACCACATTGACTACCCCTGCTGTAAGGCAAAACAGCTGTATTATATATTGCAGATGGCAGGCAAGGGACGCTGACTTACTGTGGGGGGGCTTCCCTAGTGACCTAGAGAATTCATGACAAAATCAAATTTAAAACCAGGGAATTTGTCATAACTCAGTCTCTTGATAGATGTGCTGCGCTATACTAAGAATGTCCACATAGTACTGAATTAAATGGGGCTCACTTGAAAATTAAGTAGTGTTGCAGTCTTGTCCTCCTTGTATTAGTCTAATCCTCCTTTAAAACAACTTTGTGTAAAACTTGGACTTGTTTAAACTTTTTCTTTCATTCCAAGCTATGTTTCATTTTGTAATGCTCTCTAATTCCTCTGAACTTATTCTGTGTTTCTCCCTATTTTATTTTCCTCTTTCTGAGCTGTCTCCTTCACACCTTATATTCACTTTATTCCTTCTTCCCCACCCACTTTTCTTCTTCCTCCTCCTGCTTTTACTCTGGTTCTTATGCAGCATATTTCATTGTGATTGAGCTGTAATGTATAATTCATCAAGCTGCGTTGAACCATGAAGCTATTGTATGAAAGGGAGATGGAGACAAGTTGAGCAAATGAAAGGCTTAATTCTAGTGTGGAGACTTGGCCTGCCCAGGCACAACGAATGCCAGCCTTCATTTCTGAAGAGCATGTCATTAAGCATGGGAATGGGTGGCCATTAGGACTGCAGTGTCCCACCAAAAGCAACCCCCTTTTCTGTGCTTAATCTCAGTGACTGAAAATAACAATGTCCATTGTAAAGTGGCATAGCTCTTCTGAGCAGTGACATTGTTCTAATTCAGGTTGTTGGCATCTGTCTGTCTTCAGAGACAATGGAGTGCACCACCAGGGTTGAAGTCACAGGTGAGAGCTGAGTGCAGGGTGGAGACGAAAGGTGGACAAACTACTGCAGAAGGAATATGTGTCTCCCACTAGAGATACTACCCGTCCTTAGAGCTCAGAAACTACTCACACTAATGAAATTCCCTGTTGCAAAATGTGCCCAGAACAGTGGGAGTTTCAAACACTGCACCCAAGTCAGACCAGTGTTCCATCTAGCTCACTATTGTCTGCTGTGACTGGTAGCAGCTCTCCAGGGCTTCAGCCAGGAAGTCTCTCCCAGGAAGTCTCTCCTTCCTGGAGACACTGTGGATTGCACCTGGGACATTCTGCATACAAATCAGATGCTCTGCCACTGAACTACAGCCTGTCTCTCCACCACCAGTACCAACAATGCTTCTTGGGTCACTGAATCACATGAGCTGCTTGATCATTTTGGTTGCCCCTTTCTGAACCCTTTCCAGCTCTACAGTATTGTTTTTGAGGGACAGTGACAAGAACGTATACACATTATTCCAAGCATGGTTGGATCATGCAACTCCCATCATCAGCAAACTTTTTCAGCAGGGGGCCGGTCCACTGTCCTTCAGACCTTCTGGGGGGCCGGACTATATTTTTTGGGGGGGGGGGGGATGAATGAATTCCTATGCCCCACTAATAACCCAGAGATGCATTTTAAATAAAAGGACACATTCTACTCATGTAAAAACATGCTGATTCCCGGACCGTCTGTGGGCCAGATTTAGAAGGCGATTGGGCCGGATCCGGCCCCCGGGCCTTAGTTTGCCTACCCATGTCCTTGACAGGGCTGCCTGGGGCTGTTAAGATGTGGAAGTTACAACGTCAGGAGCACAGGTTCACCACACCTGCTCTAAAGGAAGACACCATTTTGTTGACTTCTTGAAAATTCACAGAAGTTTCAGAAATGCAAAAACCAATACTAATGAAGGAGTTTGTAAATATAGTCTCACGCCCACACCAATTCTTTTTTCAATAAACAAAGCATTTATTTTAATTTAATTAACTCAGATTCCTAGAAAATATGCGTTCCAAGTATAGCAACCACAACTTCCTGTAGTTTCGTATGTTTGGGAGGGGGAAGGTAATTGTTGAAGCATCACCCCTGCTGCCCTGCAACATTTCCTCTTAATTCAGGATGGAGAAGTTTACTTTCTCATGTATTGATCTGTTGCGATGATAGGCACAGAGCCACAGACCCATTACTCACTCATTGCACACTCCACCCCCAAAACCTGACAAGTCATGCTCTTGGAATGTTTCCTACAGATTTACCAGCTTTAGGAAACAACTGTAGTTCCTCTACCACCCATCTGCATTTCTGTAAAGAGCAAATACAGGAGAATTAGAAGGTGGTGGTGGTGTTTTTTTTAAGGGAGAAATTCCTTTTAGCAGAGATGACCCAAGATAGTTTGGTTCCTGAGTCAGAGAACCCCAAATGGTGACTCCTCTTCTCCACTCTGTCCCACCCTCACCATGGAAGTAAAAATATAATGATAAATCAAATCTTTAACAATTCTCCCCTATTTTAATGGTCAACCTGCCTTTTAGATTTTAAACCATTGCCAAGTCTGCTAATTTAAGTCTCTCTCTCGGGGCGACGGGGGAAAATGTGTTGGTAGTTACGTGTTATTCTGATCCCCTTGTTGGGTATGAACATGGGTTCAAATTCCAGTCAGCCATGAAACAGCTTTTGATAAGTTCGTGCTAAGCACTGTTCCGGTTTGGCATGACTCATTGGATTATTGTGAGGATAAAATACAATAATGATATATAACTCAACCTGATATGGGGAAGGGCTGACATTGCCCTGTTAGGACTGGGAAAGATCACAGCCTGAAACCCTAGAACAGGGGTGAGGCACTCATAGTCCTTCAAATGTTGTTGGAATGCCACTCCCATCATCCCTGATGATTGATCATGCTGGCTGGGGCTGATGGGATCTGGAGTCCAACTACATCTGGAGGGCCTTAAGGATCCCCACCCCTGTCTTAGACTACTACTCAGGATAGACAACTAGATGGAGCAATGGTCTTGATGGTATAAGGCAGCTTGGCGAGTGCTATTACACTGAGGAACTGCTTACAGGCTTCCCAAAGGCATCTGGTGGGCTGCTGTGCGAGCAGCATGCTGGACTAGATGGGCCTTTGAAGTGATCCAGCATGTTCTTTGTATGTCCTTATTGGACACCCACATCCATTGGTGATCCACTGCTGACTCCAACCTACCCCTGTCTGGACTTCTATTTCTCCTTACTTTGTAGTTGCCTGTCTTCTCCAAGCATGTGATCAGTGATGATAATGATATCAAGGAGGAAGGAGCAGGGACCTCTATTCACCTAGTCCTCTTTTTCCGACCACTGGTGTAGATTGAGCACAGAGGGATGGCAAGCTAGTGGCAAGAAAGGGGGGGGCTTTCTTTTTCTATCAAGGCCTGTGCTCCCTGTGGTGGTGGTGGGATAATCTGTCAGGGATCATATGTCCGCAATGGGTGGGTCCAGAACCCAAAATTGGGTGGGTCCACCTCTTCCCCCTCACCCCTTTCTTCCCCCCTCTTTTCTCTCCCCAGGCTTGTGGCAGATGAGTGAGGGAGAAAGACAAATCACTCTTGCAAAATGTCTGAGCTGATCACTTTGCAGAGGGGCTTTAGAAATTAGGCCAAAGGCCACATGAAATTAAGCTGCAGGTTGTGTCCACCCCGACCGAAGTTCATGAAGATATGAACTGGCTCATACAAAACTCTGTTGAACAAGAACATTGGTAATCTCATGTAGTAATTTTGGGGGGGGGGAGACGACAAATCTAAATAATCCGTCACTTAAAAACCCTCTTTTAAAAAAAAATAAAAACATGCACTCTTACTTAATGTACATTTTGGAAACTCATTATTTCTCCCTGAATCATTTCAATGCCATGCTAGGAAGGAGTGATTTCATGCCATTTTCTCTTCCCTCACCCCCCACCCAAAAAAGTAGGTGGAATTACTCAGTACTTTGGTATAATTGTTCTGAGTCCTTTTTCTGAATTCGAAGAGAAAATGTGCAGAAGAGATGTACAGCAGGCACCCAATGTGATGGAAAGGTATAATTTGGCCACCTACCACTAGCTGCTGAAAAGTAATTTTAAAGGCCGGGTGCCGATCAGGATTAATCACCCAGTTCGTTACTGAAAAACACGTCTTTCCTTTCCCACACCTTCGTGTGTTCCTTGCTAAAGAGTGTAAGGAGAGAGAGGAACAACCTCTTTGACCGTATTTACTTGGGAGAAAGATAGTCCAGCTCTAACCAAAAGGGTTCCCTTTGTGTTGACACATTCCAGTGTTCCCTTCCTATATAGGACTTGCTTTTGTAGAAATAATCCGTGGTCATTGCTGGTGATGCAAAGATAAAAAGTCTGCCCCTGCCCCCTTTCCCTGCAGACTGTTTATGGGCCCTGTCAGCTCAGTTACCTTCAGTTGAACTCCATCGATGGACATGGCCAAGTGTTCCCCTTCAAATGAAGGGAGGGTGGTGGTGAGGGGAAGAGCATTGTTGAAAGGAGGTGACCTCTTCGTCACCCTCTTCTGTCATCATGATGCCTTTATGGGTGTGTTTTTTAAAATTCTTTCTGAACCACAACAACTTTCCATCCTCTTCCCCAGAGACATAGTGGGGATTTTTTCTTTTTTTTTTCTTTTCAGCAATGCACCCTCTCTGTCACTCTTAAGTTTATTTGACTTAGACTTCATAGTCAAAAGCTATGGAGTGCCTCTTTTTTGTTTTTAATTAAAAAAACAACTTTTATTTATTCCTTATGGAACCAACAGTGTTGTATTTTCAAATATAATCAGAACTAAGTGGCTCCTCATAGTGTAGTTGGGCTGACTTGCTGGGAGACCTTGAGCCAGTCACTGTCTCTCAGCCTAACCCACCTCACATGGTGGTTGCATGGGTAATGTGGAGAACATGTATGCTACCACGATGTCCTTGGGGAAAAGCAGGGAGAGGACATAGATGCAATAAGTAAATACATGTAACACTCCACCCCAGAGCTGTGCAGCAAGATTAGTTATGTTAAATTCTCTAGAATAGTCTTTAATCAAGAATATTCTTGAGAATATTCTCCAAATGAGGTGTGTACATTTAAAGCAGCTGTGTAGACGACACAGAATTTACAGTTTGTGGAGAATATTCTCCAGAGAATTTTCTAGCAGAGAATATTCTCGAGAATATTCTCCAAAGAATTTTCTCACCTCACATCACTAAGCAAGATTCTCTCATTGCAGTTCTCATACATGAATCCTAAGTTAGTCATGTCCATTACCTTCAGTGGGTCTGCACTGAGTAGGACTAGCATTGGACACAGCACATGAAAATCAGGTGTGAGAATTGCCAGTGAAAAGGAAAGAGGTGTGGGTGGAGGAGACTCAGAGAGAAGCATTATGTCACCAAGATTCTCTGCCAGCTGTGATGGAGCCGGACTATTGATGAATCCCTGGCTGTAGGCCAGTCTTTCCTGGACTCAAATGTAATTCAGGGAGAGGGCAGGGGAGGAGAAGGGCGGGAGGAGGGAGAGAGAACCAGACAGAGAAATTGATTGTTAGTTTAATGTGATTTGACATCAGGGAAAGTGGAAGTAGAGGACAAGGAAAAGCCACAACCTCAGTGCTACATTAGCAGCACTTTGACATTACAGAATTTATTGGTGCCCTGTTTCTCTCCTGGAGACAGACTTTTTAGAATCCTTTCCAGAGCAAGGGAAATATGGCCAAGGTTTGTGTATGAATGATATCTTTGTGTGCAGGAGACACAGCTTGCAGGCACTCTCCCTGCTGCCCCCCCCCCCGGTGGCTCAGCACCTACAGGAAAAGGATGGAGAGGGCAGAGCAGTCAAACAGCTGGAAGATGATATCCATCCTTTGTTAAGGCCATCAGTAATTTCTCTGGATGGGGAAAGATCACAGCTATGAGTTGTCAAAGTGATCCAGAAATGTCCCTGGCTGGTTATAGAATCCTGTCCTTGACAAGAAAGCTATCTAGCAAACTGTATCTGGGCAAGTTCAACCATTTGGCTAAGTAATGATGTGCAACAGAGCCCAATTGGACTCCTTAATGTAGGGTTGTCTCCTGGTAGTGTGGGAAGGGGTACAGACCTTGCTCCTTAAGTTGGGATTGTCGTATATTATGAAATCCCTCAAACCTTAGAAAATGATGGCTCTTCCAATGCTGGGTGCTTGCAATTTGTTCCTTTGCATCATCGTACATATTACTCCTAATTCCCTTTCATGTGTGGTGTTATCTTGTCGTAGGCTTGTTGAAGTTGTGTGAAGCATCATATTTTGAAGAGAGCATTTTGGTTATTGTTTCACACATGATGCTTCTCTTGCTTATGTAACAGCAAAATACCAACCAAATGTTGGGAATGTGTCCTGAGTATTTGTGCAGGTTGTTGCTGACCACTGTGTGTGTTTATTTATATACACCTTACTTCCCAACAAAACATTTTACTCAAAGCCATAATGTGTATATGTGGTGACTGTATTTTGGACCAATTGCAATTTCCAGAACATATTTAAAGTCAGCCTTAAAGATTGCATCAGGAGTCCAATCTGGGCATAACTGGAGCATGTGTGACCTAGTCCGGGTCTACTAAGCACTGCAATATTTCTCGCTTTGGTTTGTTGGTTGCTTGCCATTCAAATAGGTATGGGAGGAGATTGCAGCTTATGTCACACACCAAGACACATTAGGTTCTCTAAAGAGAGTGTTTCTTTTCCTCTCTCTTGTTGGTGGTGTGGTTTAGGAGAAGTATGCAGACAGGCTTAGAGGTATGTAAGGGCATTATTGTAAGAGAAAATGTCCCGTCTGAAGTAGCCACGAGACGAGAGCTCTGGGCCTGTGCTTTATACGGGGCAAGAAATCCTGTGTTGTTTGCTAATTCTCTCCCAGACTGGAAAATACTTCACGTCTGTCCTCGCGGAAAACATGTCATGAAAGAGTGTTTGTACGAGAGGCATCTTTGTTCATTGTTCCCCTCAGCCAGTGTAACTTGACATATTCTGCATTAAAGGCGGAGGTACCTTGAAAACGGCATTTTGTTTTGCTTTTTAAAGAAAGAAAGAAAGAGAAAGAAAGGAAAGGAAAAAACAGCTCACAGTCATGGAACTGGAAAGCCACCCCAAGGACCAGGTCCTGAGCAGCGCTATGAAGCTAGAGCCAGATGTGAAGACTGGTCTCGAGGACTTTAACAGGACAGCATTGACCACTGTGTTATTTCCCCCCTTGCCTCCATACCATACTTCAGTCTCCATAACTTCCACCCTTCTTTGCTATCAGCTTCACACCATCATCTTTTGTGGAAGCTTAAGCTGTTTATGGATGATATTGCTATCAGTGGCTACTAGCCATGATGAGTGTAGTGTCTGAGGCAACAAGTCTCTGAATACCAGTTGCTGTTGCACTCATGTCTTGCTTTCAGGCTTCTCAGAGCAACCCAGATGACCACTGTGAGAATAGGGTGCTGGACTATTTTGATGTATCCAGTTTGGACATCTTTAAAAGAATATTAGGCAATTCATGGAGGATAAATCTTTCAATGACTACTGGGCCCAGTGTCTATGTTCTCCCTCCACTGTTAGAGGCAATATGCCTCTGCATTCCAGTTGCTGAGAATCAAAGTGGAGGAGAGTTGCTATTGAACTCTCTGTTCCTACTTTGGGGCTTCCTTCAGGTGTCTGGTTGGTCACTATGAAAAGAGGATGCTGGTCTGGATGGTTCTTTCAACCTGATCTTGCAGGACTGCTCTTATGTTTGCACATGTTAGCATTTTCCTCCTCTTCTCTCTCTCTCTCCTCTCCTCTCCTCTCTCCCCCCCCCCCCCCGCCTCCCATGGAGCTTTGAGGTTTCTGAATGCAGTAAATAACATTTTTACTACCTTCTGTTGCGGAAAGGGCATGTCTAACCTCACATTTCCAAATAGGCATATCTTGATGGTCCAGGCCAGCTGTAAAGTATGATCCAAGATCATACTATGACTCTCATGTTACACACAGAAGCAGGAGATCAAGTATGTCATGCAGGGGAGTGAGGAAGACACACACTTGTGACATAGGTAGCAGTACTCAGAATACACTCATTGAAAATAGCGGCTATTACTAACAAGTCTCTTGATTGAACATTGGCTGTATTCTGCAATCCAGTGTGGTATAGTGGTTGAAGTGTTGAACTAGGAGATCAGCTGGGTTCAAATTCCCACTCAGACATTTGGGATAAAGCTGCTTCCTATATTCCCATGCAGGATGGTACTTCCTTAAAAGAAGGTACTTGGTGGGTTGGAGTCCACAACCCAGGTTGGGTATGGTTTAGGTTGGAGGTTGGTGCTTTTGGCCAAATGTGAGGGTTTTCTTTTGCACCCTGGCTTTTTGAGCGACTGGACTACTTCCACCCTTGTTACACAAATGTCAAATTTGTCCCTAATATTCTCTTGAATCTTTTATGGCACTCCAATGTTGTCAAGAGAAGCTGCTCTCAATTTCTAACAAATGCCTTCTCCACCCTCGCATAGTTCTTAAAAGTTCTGCAGGGTAGGGACTATGAAGGCTACTGTAGGTGAAACATGAAAGGTGATTGCGTGTTTTCTTCCATTCAGATAAGAGTGTGTTTTTTAAAAAACAAAAGGGTTGTATGTTTGAGGTGTGGCATTGTTGGTTTCTTTCTTTTACCCTGGTGTTGACGAAGCAAGTTTCTGTGAGCCAGTGTGGGAGTTGGAGAGCAGGAAGGAGAGGGTTGATTTGGCAGGTTGATCAAACGAAGGTTTTAATCCATTTTCAATCCATCTGCCCTCTTATTACTCTCCAATCTTCTTTTGAAGATGTTGTGGGTCTCTTTACAGCGATTAAAGCACAATCCAGTTACGTGGATTCTGACGGCGTGCATCCCAGCCTCTTCATCCCCTCCACCCCAGATGCCCCATATTTTATGGTAGGGAAAAAGTGAGAGAGAGAAAGCAAATGGTATTAGCTAGAACTACCTGTTTGTACTGAATAGAAGCTTACAGGAGAACATAATAATGTTTGAAAGGAACACTACAGGTAGTGCATAAACCTTCTGCAAGGAGCACCAGCTACTTCAGGCCTCTGGGTGCATGTTATGTCCCAAACTACCATGGAGCTGTCTTTCCTTAGGCAAACAGCTAACAACTACTGCACCAGAGTCCTTCATTTAAAATTAATTCTCATTGTGTGGCTGTGGAGAGTACTTAAAAATCCAGAGAGCCACTCAACATGTTTGTTTGCTTGTATCTGTAGTTAGATTGATGAATAAGGTCTACTTCATGTATAGAATCTATCTAAGGGACCCAAGTTAGTCATGTCTATTAATTTCAGTGTGTCTACTCTGATTGGATTAGCAGTGGCTACAACCCTATATCTTCTCAATCTCTCTCTAATGACCCTTCCATCGTATGCTCACAACTGGACCTTTTAGGAAAGCTTTTCAGCCATTACTGTTTCTTTGGTTCTACATTTTACAAAATGCTTTTAACTGCTGTGGTTAAATAATTTTTTGGTGATTTGGGTATTCTCTCCAGATGCCTTGAGTGGCAAAGACGTTTCTCTGCTACTGTAGTGCTTTAGTTATTTAAGTTACTTTGTTAGGTGCCTTGGGCTGGTTGAAGAAAATAGGGTGTGTAGATTGTATGTGTGTGTGTTTATGTTTGCCCTCTCCTTTCCCCCTCCTGCCTCTCTTGTCTTCCTGACATTCAAAAGTTAAAGTTCTCTAGACTTTGGAGCCATATGCTTCATTTGGGTTCTGCTAATAATGTGAAGCAGGGTGGGAAAACTTTTCCAGCCTGTTGTTGTTGTTTATTAAATTTGTGCATAGCCCTTCACCCATAGATCTCAGGGCAGTTGGTAACATAAAAATACAAGATAAAAAAAATAATAAAAACAGGAACAAACACAAATGAATAGCCTAGGAAGTGGGGTGTTTTTTTCCTCATAGGCATAAGAACTGCTAAGTTTTTCTGAGATACACAGAAATTTCTGAGGGGTGGGGTAGAGTGGGAATTGAAGGATGAAAAGCTATTGCACAGTGCATGGGTGCAAAGCAACTGCGGGGAGAGTGGGAGTTGTGGAGCCCTTTCTCTCTCTCCCCATCCACCCGAGGGGGAACTGACAAAGGGCAGTGCAAAGAAAACTCTGTCCCAAAAGCCAGTCCTGGGGTCGAGGTCAGTTATTCTGGCCCAGAAAACACAAGGCTCCCAGCAGCCGCCCTTGTCAACCCAGAGAACGCTCAGTGACATGCATACCGGGATTTGACAATGAAACCAGAGGGGAGGAAAAGGGGGCAGGGCTATCTTTTTATAAACTACTCGGTTGTGGGAGGAAAGCCTTCCCAGCACAGACTCAGGGTAGCAGCAGCCATTCTGGGATGGCGACAGCTAACAAAAGAGCAGGGGGGATGGAAAAGGGGGCTAAGGGCCCCCTTGGCGAGCTATTGTTTCCGTGCTCCATGTCGAATAACCGTGACTCCCGTGACCTCTTGGTGTGCTCTCCTGAATGAGGGCTTCAGGACACCTGCCACACCAAACAGCTGAGGCAAAAAGTATTAAGGGCCTGGCTTCCCAGCACTGTTTTGCTGCTACTCCCCACCCCCCATTCCCTTGTAGCAGAAAGGATAACAAACCTTCCCATTGTCAAATCTGCCCTCTCCCCCCCTTCCCTCCCCCTTTCTCCCCATTCCAGTTAATGGTGCCCATTTTTTATTGGTTAAGGTTCCCATCTGCTTGGAAACCGGTTACGCTGTTAAGGAGGACCAGGGTAGGGGAGAGATTAAAACCTTGCCTCTATATGCCAGGATTATCATTATTAATAGTGGTAGCAGTATTTATTCTTTTGCAAAGCCAAAATGAGTGCAGATCTACAGTAGATATTTTTGTTCCTCAGTGGTGAATTTACTCTTTTTCTTTCAACCTAGATTGGGTCAGGCGTCAGGGACTTTTTATTCACAGGACCTCTCTGGAATATTACCAGTGGGGTTCTGTGCACAAGAGTGGACCGTGCTTGGGCTTTGTTTCAGCACCTGTGTATAGGAAGCTACCTTATGCTGAGTCAGAACCACCAGTCCATTTAGCTCAGCATTGCTCTGAGCACTGGCTGACGGCAGCTGTCCAAGGAGGTCTTTCCTAGTCTTATCTAGAGATGTCAGGGATTGAACATGGAGCCTTCTGCATTCAAAGCAGATGCACTAACCCCTAAGCCATGACCTTCAAGGCATGGGAAGCTGCTTTATACTGACTGAGACTTGTGTTTCATCAGTACACAGACTGGTTGTGGCACTCCATAGGGTTTCAGTCAAGGGGCCTTCTAGCACACCTGGAAATGCCAGGGATCAAACTTGGGACCTTCTGTAGCAAAGCAGGGGCTCTACCACTGAGTTAATGTCCTTCCTTCGAAATCAAGGGACAGCAGCAATATAAACAATCAAAACAAAGTGAGCTATCAAAAAAAAAAAAAAAAGTGCAGCTATCAGGGGATAACCAGCCCCCTCCAGATAATAATAAAAAGGATGTCAGAAAAGAGTAATCTTAATCATCCATCTCAAAATAGAAATAGGAGGGAGACGGACACACCTCCTGGATAAAGGACCCCCAGGTTTTGGGCACCTCTGCTGAAAAGGCCCTGTCCCCTCAACCCCTGCAAACACCAACATAAACTCCAATAGAGGGATACAGAAAAGAGCCCTGTATGGTTCTGTGCCCTATATGGTACTGTGTTCCAGCAGTAACAACTTATAGAAGTAAGCTAGATTGAAGCTGTTATGATAAGCAGGATGGGGGCTAGAAAGTAAGTGTCAGCCAGCAAAAATCAAGTATTATTGATTAATTTGTTCTAAACCTGCTTAACAGCATGTGACAATGCTGCTGAAATCTTAGAAGCCAGACTAGATGAATAAGGTATTCAGTCTCTTGTACAACTCTGTAACTTCTGAACACCGACTAAAGCAGGAAAAAAACCCTATTCCAAATGTGTATATGCATAATTTCAAAAAACTATTTTTCTTGCTGCAATATTTGTCTTGGTGTGCCTATTGTTAAGCTTGCCTGCATACATTTGGGGGCGGGGGGGGGGTGAAGGTCCTGGTTCCTAATACTTCAGCAGTTATTGTCACATGCTGTCCAAACAGTTTTGGAGCACATTTTTGCCAATAATACTTGATCACCACTGGCTACCAATAATAATAGTAATGTTGATGATGATTTATTTGTACCCCGCCCATCTGGCTGGGTTTCCCCTGCCACTCTGGGCGGCTTCCAACAAAGATTAAAAAATACATTACTTAATTCCTGAACCCCATCTGAAGCGCTACCTGCCACCCTTTGAAGCTTAAATAGTTTGGCTCTAGCCTACTTCCAAATGATACAGGGCAACTTACGTCAATATAATATTGGTGGTCCATTGGGATTGGAAAGGGGACTTCACTCTGTGAGTCCCCCATTACCAGAAATTACAAGGGTGTGTATGCCAAAGGATTCTTTTCATCCCTTCTTTGTATTCCCATTAAACCAAGGCCCAACTCTTTATACCAGATATAATCACAACTTCCCTAATGTTACAGTGCTTTTCTAGCTCTTGTATCTGGTAATATATTTTTAAGGACCGTCGCCCTTCATTTTGCCTTGGCTCATGACTTCCTGTGTGCACAACCCTCCTCATGTCAGGAGGCCTTTGATCCTTTAATTGGTTTCTATCCACCTGATCCCATTCCCCCCCTCCCCTGGAGCTAAAATCTATTTCTCCATAATGCCTCCTTCTGCAGCTTCTCATTACAGTCCTTTAACCAGAGATCCTTATGAACTAAATTCTATTAAGTGTTGTTTTCCAATCAAATTACCTTTTAGGGCTTTTTCATAAGTACTGTACATTTCTCTCTCTATATACATTTCAGTGGATAGCCCATTGCCTCAAGAGGTTGGGACAATTCATATGGGAAATAAATTAGTATATATCCTTTTAAAAACTTTTCAGAAATAGAATGAATGAAAGAGTAATGATAGTTTTAAATTTATATGTGGGGAGAGGAGTGATATACCTCAAACTGCTACTTTTTGAACAATTAGAAAGAAGTGTTAAGTATACATATGGAATTAGAAGAAAACCAATCGGTTTCATCCAGTGCTAGTCCTACTCAGAGTAGACCCATTTAAGTTATTGGCCATGAGTATATCACTATTATACTTAATGGGTTGTATCTATCTCCCTGTCTTCACAACAACAAAAGCAACAACAACCCTGTCTCGAGTCACCCAGTGAGCTAGGAAACTGAAGGCCTTAAAAGTATGAGTTATATGCAAGGCTACTCCAACTCACAGTAGACCCAGAGAAGGTAATGAAGACAACAAACTTAAGTTCATCAGCTGTGCAGTTTGTCTACCCTTGAGTATTTTAAAACCTCCACTAACAATAGCATTGCAAACTATTCATCTAGAATTAGTGGACAGGGATGGGAGGACAGTTAGGAGAGCTGATGGGCCAAGAACCTTCCCAAAGTGGTTAGCTAGTAAATCCCATTACCTCGGCTGCTTCTCTCTCTAGATGCCCCTATTGGCTTTTCATTGGTAACTCAAAAGGTTGGAATATATGGCTCAAGGAGACTGCAAGTTGCTGACACATCATGTCAACAGAACAGGATTGGTTAATGTCAAACTAGTATGCCACTCTAGTTTATCATAGGCACCCACAAAAGCACACCTAGCTTTTTTATTGTTGCTCTAAGCAGGATTATACTGATTTCTAACTGCAGTGATTTTGTTTTCCCATCATGTTGTCAGACTGTTGAACCACTGGGCATTATCCAGTCACATTGCAAGCCTCATAGAAACAACCAACATGACATCAAATCCTTTTGACACACTTAAGAAGATGATTTTTTAAAAATCCAAAACAGGTCACATGAATACAAAACTGCATACAACCCTTTCTGATCTTGGCTGTTCTTCCATTCCTTTCGTCGTCCTAACCCTGATTTGGTATGCAGCCCATGGGGCGGTCATGCCTGCTGGCAAACAAAGGGAATTGGAAATCAGCATTACATTTGAACTCTCTCCCACCCCTTCGCTTTATTGATGCCCATAAGGCTGGACATAGTGACCACTCTCTCTCTCCCCCCCCCTTTATTCTGAGTCCCCTTTGCCCAAAGAGAGAGGAGCTTAGAATGCAGCCAAACCATTATTGTCTGGCAGTATGTGAGGTACCATATTCCTCATTTTTCTCATTTCAAATGCGCAGGATTCCCCCTCTTGTTTCAAAATCCCAACTCCTAAAATGTCACCCAGGACCCTGCAGCTCAGATCCTTGCAACTCGACAGCTTGAATTTACTGCTTCCCACTGAGTCAATTAGGGTTTTTTTACTCCTCTCTATTCCTCTCACTTGTGCTGGAGCCTCACCCTTGGGGCTGGACGTCCCAGCTGCGATCATGCTTATGCTTAGCTGTCATTGCCACAAAGAAGACTGTAGCAGGGTGTGTACTTTGGTGAGGATGCTAAGTGTTCCCCAATATATTGTGGCAATACAATGGGTGGGGCTGCAGCCCTCACCGATATTGCTGAACTACAAATCCCATCTTCTCATACAGTTGCCCACCAGGAGGGCCACATCTCCCCGCACCATGTCCTAAGGACAAGGTTCTGACAGTGGTAGGGACTATTCCTGCACAGGTTCTGTGTCAGCCACTGAATGCAGTGGACTCTGAGATGGAAAAGTCAACTCCCCCCCCCCCCCGAAAGAAGAACACTAGATGCTTCCTAGGACTGCTGCATCAGTCCAGTGGACTGTCGTTTCTAATTCTGTCTGGAGCCATGACTGTTCTGGGATAACCCCATCCCCATCTTTGGTGAAGTCTTACTTGAATATACTAAGACCTTTTCAGCAGCTATGCACAGCTAAGAGACTCTGCAAGCAAGGAAAGAGCTTAACTCAAGAGCTTAACTTCATCCCCACCATGCTGCTAATGCTGCTGTGTTTCAGCCCCATTGCCTTATCCACCAGGTTAAACAATTCTCAATCACTCTATCTTTGTACAAAGCAAGGAGGAAGAATCAAACTGGCTTCCCTGTTTTTCACCTAGTCTGCTTTGCATTTTTTTTGCTTTGCTTGGGGAGTAATAAGTCCTTTCAGTGCCTGGCGGCTTGCAAATAACCCCGGAGAGTCTGTCCTGTCCCTCACCTCCTCCTCCTGACTCTCCATGATGGCTTTTATGCTCCCCCGCTTTATAAGTGGTTCTTTTATGCCTTTCTTACAATTGAAAGGAAACCCCAAACAAACAAGGGGGACAACAACCTCAGAGAGAGAGAGTGGGTAAAATGCTTGGTAATCCAGTACTGCCAGCAACTATTGCAGGGAAATCCAGAGTTAAGAGCAGAAAAGCCAGGCAAGTGAGCAGGCTGCCCTCACCTCATCTCACCCTGCGGTGCTGAAAACTCTTCCTGGTGCCTGGTGTTCCCTATCAAATGTACTTGATTAGTTGGTCGCTAGAGGGTGAGTTGAGGACAGCCTCCTTTGCTTGGAGTTGCATGCTGAGTTTGGAGTTTACCCCCCCCCCCCCTTGAGTTATCAAAAGTGCTGCATAAACAGTGTTCTTCAACCTTGTGTCCCCAGATGTGGGTGGACTACAAATCCCATCATCCACAAACATTTTAGCCTCAATTGTCAAGGGCCATGGGAGTTGTAATCCACCCTCATCTGGGGACCCAAAGTTGAAGAACACTGACTTAGAAGATGCTGGGCATCATACTGTAAATGAGCAGCTAACCTTACTTGGACCAACTAGTGCGAAGCTTTTAAATCACATGCAGAGAATTTGCTTTCCAGCATCTGTTTCATCTTGGTGTTTTGCATCTGCAGACTTTTTCATTTCAACAATGGGTAGCGGAACTTGGAGGAGGCACGTCATTAGCCCCATGGGAACAAAGCAGAAAATGGAAAATAGATAAATAAAATTTCCTATAGCAATATGATAGTTACCAGTACAAAGGTGAGGGCACCTCTCAGTTGCATATCAGGTACAGTGCCTGTCCTGTTTTGGTTGATAGTTTAGTTTTTTTGTTAGTTTGTTTTAGAAATAATGGAAGCAAACCAGAGAGGCTTGTCAAGGGTGGGGAGATTTAATGAGATAGGACCGATAAATGGTAGGGCTCCGTTTTAAGGAATAAATAGTAATGTGTGTGTATGGTGAATGTTAGGGGTTGTGATAACAAGTTTTGGATATCTAAGAATTTCCCCCCAGATATTCTGTACATTTAGAAATGCTTTCATAAAGAAGAGGGAGAAAAATAAAGTTTTCTAAAGAGAAAATGAGAAGCAAATGAGTTCAGCAAGGAAGAAAGATAAAGGTTCCTTGTGGGCAGAATTGCTGAGTGGTAGAACTTTTTTTTTTTTTTGGTCTAAGCAAAATGCAGGATCTACATCTCAGGAGGATTTAAAGTAGAGTTTGTCAGATATTGTTTAAGAATGCTTCTGCCACACAGTTTTAACTGCAGCATATGACCTGTGGTTTGGCATTTCCATCCCTGCAGCCCAGAGCGGTCTGGCTAGCACTGGTTGGTCTGTATTGACTTGGCAGGAAACTATTTGGGCAGTGTAATCCATGAGGCTCCATTCTAATTAGCGCTTCTTTAGCTCAGTGGAAGTAGAGCAAATGTTCTGCATGGAGAAAGATCCAATCCTCAGCCTCCCCAGTTAGAGGGCCTTCAGGGTGATGGTGCTGCACTTACAGAATGCTTTCCCCAGTGTGGCTCACTTGGTGTCCATGCTGGAAGCTTTTTTGGTGTCAGGTGAAGAAGATGCTTCTCTTCTCCCAAGCCTTTTAATTCTATACATTTAGGTCTTGGAACAGTTTTGTCTTCCTTTTGTTTGTGTGATTTCCACACACCCCCAGCGCTACTTATTGATCTTATGCTGTTATATGGTTCAGTGCTACTTTTTATTAATTTTGTGCTGGTGTTGCTTGTATATATTGATAGCCTTTAGTACTGTCGAATTGCATTTGTATTTCATTGACTTTTAAATTGTAAGCTACGCAGAGAGCACAGTTGTTTGGGTGATAAAGACATGCCTAAATAAAACACAGACATTTTTTCTTCAATTAATGGTACAATAAAATTAGGAGTTTAGGAAGGCGTGATAGCGAGTTAGCTGATTTTATGGGGACATGCCCCATTCAGCCATTTCTATGCTAAATCTGTCATCTACATGTACCCTTAAATTCTGAACTTCTACTGTTTTAATAATATAACTGCCCTATGCATGTCTACTCAGAAGCAGGTCTCATTTGTACTTACTCCCAGGTAAGAGCGCTTAGGATTAAAGCAGGGATCGCTAATATGGTGCCCCCAAGATATTGTGGACTACAATTCCCATCAGCCTTAATCAGAATGGTTAATGGTCAACGGTGGTGGGAGTTGTAGTCCAAAACATCTAGAAGGCACCATGTTGGCCACTTCTAAATAGGATTAAAGTCTAAATGACCTATGATGTCCATTCCAACTTGGTGCAGCAGGATCCTAAACATGATCTACCTGCTGCAGCCCTAGAAGGCTCTGTACAAAAACTCCCTACTTTAGAATTAAATGCATTGTTCAAATTACAGATTATGTGAAAGTTATTGGAGTCATTGGATTCCTCAGTCTTATGTGATTTATGAGACACACATTATTCCTCAGCTGTAGCAAATGCAGTAAACATTCATTTGATACAGCACTTCCCACAAAGGAATGTACAAGGAAGAAGTGAGGGATAGTTTATAAAATACAAATTAAGCATGAATATAGTGGTTGGTATTTTCTTTCCTCTACAAAATATCCTCATTCACAGCCCTCTCAGCTCTTATAGTCTTAGCTTTCAACTCATTTCTGCCTGAGCTGCTTCTCTTGATGTCATATGGCCACTTTCTGGATGCTGTTTTCTGTTTTAGAGAGATCTGGTGTTGCAGAGGGCAGGGGCTGCATTTCGTGAGTTACCTTTGCAGAACTTAGATTTGGTATGCCAATATCTATTAGTCACAATGGGCTTTTGAATGGCGCGGGTCTGGTGGTGGCACCAGGCATCCCTGGGCAGTTACTAGGGCCTCTGCACTCTGACAAGGCCCACCACCACAGTTTGTCTTAATGGCTCTTTTATTATTATTTTGTTTAAAGACCAAGCCTAGCACTGCAAGGACAATCTGCTATTTCAATTTTCCACAATATTCTGGAGCAACATTACATCAAGCGCATTGTCAAAATTAAAATGTCCAGCTGCTCAACACTTACTGCCTCTGCCAGCAGCACCAGGTATGCGTGCCAGGGCCTATCATTTGGGGAAGAGGGCTACTAGCAGAGGCGGGAAGCCATCAGAGGGCACTTTGCCCAAAGCCTTCTCAAACTTGGAGGCAGCAAGTTGGTGGAGAGAGGTCTAGTGGTTTTGGAACTTCAAATGGAAGCAGCTATCAAGCTGATAGAAGGGAACTGGTTTTCAGTTTCCCATCCTGGTCAGTGAAAGCTAATGTTTAGCTGGTCAGTGAAAGCTAATGTTTTTGCAGACCCTGGTCTGGTTTGCTAATCCTACTCAGACCCATTGAAAACAACAGACATGACTAATTTAGGTCCATGAACTTCATGGTCCATGAACAGGACTTAGTTGGCTACAACACATTGCTTCTATATGCGTATGTGTTTTGAAAGTTTGCTTCCACACAAATTAGGTCTCCAAACTTTTAATGTTTTTTTTAAAGGTGGATTCTAAGACGATCTGGACACCAGTTTGTAGTATGCAATGCAATCAGAGTTGGATTTGAGTAAACTTTGCAGGAATTGAATGAGATAGTTTGGAAGGGTTGAGAGGAGAAACCTCGTTATGATAGGGGTAAGGCTGTGCTACTTTTAAACATTGTCACTACCAAGATTTCTAGAGCATCTAAAGCCGCTTGGAACAAGTTCCATATTCCCTCAATTGCTGCATCATTAACAAACATAAGCCCCCAAATTCAGGCAACAGAGAGAGTATAAAAACCCCATGTACACACATACACAATTTAATTTTTGAGATTTTTACACCACAGCCCTGTCTATAGATCCCTGTGATGTTCAGGAAAAAATTTTAAAAAGCAAAACCCACCCAGCACACTAAATCCCAAGGCTGTAACATTTACAAATACTGTGCTGCTTACAGTTTACAAATTAATCTGATCTGGTGCAGTATCCAGGTTAGAGTCTACCTTTTAAAAGAAGAAAGAGAGAGAGGTTATAATCAGGTATAGATTATCATTGGGTTACACAAAATTTGTTAGCCCCTTTCTGCTCTTCTTCTTCCTTTTATATATATACCACTTGGTTGCCCGGGTAGTTTCTAAGCAGGTGGTTTCTAAGCAGTTTACAAGTATAAAACTAATTACAAAAATACCCATAATTAAAATACACAATAAAAGTACACAATAAAGTAATTCTATCAAAACATTAAAATAAACACCCATAATTAAAATGTGCAATAAACAAGCCACATAAAACAGCAGAACTACTAATACTATTAAAGCAGTAAATCTTGCAGTGGCCAAAACCATACTCCAAAGGACAGAGGTTTTGCCTCGGACTTTCAGTGCTCCCTCAAAGTGAAGCACATTGGGATGGACCCCTACATCTCATCCCCAATTCCAAGTACCTCAGAAGTGCAGTGTGAAAAGGACAAGCTGCAAGTTCCTTCTCAAGGTTGGAACCGGAAGGAATGCCAGACTCTGAGTGCTTCTGCTGTGTACAACTACGTCGCAGCTGGAGGTGAAGGCGGGTATTTTTCCTGACCATTGGCCATGCTGGCTGAAGTTGGAACCCAATGAGATCTAGAGGGCCACAGGTTTCCCATCCCTGCTGTAGAGGACGCAGAATATTGCCAGGGAAAGATTAGCAATCACGGTAAACCAGAAGCAACCATTCCTAGCACAAGCTAGGGCAAGACATGGAAACACCATTTCAGATTGTGGTTTGAAGTGCCACTGCACACTTCAAAGTCTTGCTTTTGGTTGCACTGGGGATTAAATTGCTGCAAAGCAACAATTGGGTGTGATCTGAAACATGAGGGAGCTTACCCATCCCCCAACCAACAAACCAGCCTAAATCGCGCTCTTACATTGGAGCCCAAATAAAGCTTATAATTAAGGGTAATGGTGGAAACTTCATACGGCTCTACGAGGTCAAGTGGAATCTGGTTTCCATCATAAAAAGCTTCAGCCCCCTGAGGAAGCCTAGGAACAGACAGTCTATTCATGTCAACAAGGTGACCACCAAATTGGGGAGGGGGAACCAAATGGGAGTCTCTCACTCCTTTTACCTACAAAGCAGAGCCTGAGAAATTTTATTTATTTGCTCAACCATCTTTATAGGAGTAAGGAGCTATGAACTGATTAAAATAAGAAAATAAAAAACCCATTGTAAGGTGTGAGAGAGATTGTGGCATGAGGTGGGGTTGATGGAGGAAGGGGCGAAAGGAGGAGGCCCCAGGGAGAAGTAAAAATGGCCTTTCACGGGGCTGAGCCCTAGATTAGGCCAGGTTCCTTGTAAAGAATGAGTCTTGGATGTGGTTGAAGGAATACCAGCAGCTTTAGCAATCTTTGGGTTAGGTGGGATCATTTTCTTTCTCTGCTCCAACCTCTCAAGTTTATCCTGAAATATTGTGTGTGTGTGTGTGTGTGAGAGAGAGAGATGCAAATGTAGCGTGCACTCTCTTTCTCCCTCCACACACACAGACAGCAGGCCTCCTCACCACAGGTTTAGTTCAGTACAGTATCTTGATTCAAACTGGTATATTCAAACACAAACCACATCTGCACCATATCCTTAAACTACATAAACTACTTAAACAGTTATGGCTCCTCGCCCCAAGCAAATTGGTTTAGCAATCAACCCCTCTTCCCAGGGAACTTTGGGAATTGTAGCGCTGTGAGGGGAATAGGGGTCTTCTAACAACTTTCAGCACCCTTATCAAAATACCATTCCCAGGATTCTTTGGGGGAAGCCATGACTGGTTAAGGTGACATAATAGTGCTTTAAATGTATGGCAAGGATGTGGCCATAGACAAAAACCTTTGATCTTGGGGACCATCGTGCAAACTTTGGTTACAATATTTTAAGAGAACAAACAAATTTCCAAAATATATACTGTATAGGTAATACTCACCCCCCCCCCCAGTCTAGTGAGTACAGGTTCATTCCTGCCCTACGCTATACCCTATCCCATGTTGTTGTAGGAGAACACATGTGGGTGTATTTGTGTCACAATTTGTTTTGACTGTGCTGGTGTGGAGCATCCCCAAATGCTTGTTCCGGAAATGAGAGCTGGGTCCATTCTGAAAGTGCTGTTCCCTCTTGAGGCAAGCAGTGTGTACAGCCAGCCAGCCAGCCCTCCCCTATCTCTGGTCTAAGTTTTATCCTATTAATAGAGCTGTAGCAGACAGAATGCATGTGGCTGCTCAGTCACGCTGCATTGAAATAGCACTCACCCAGTTCTCCCCCTTTAGGCTTAATATCCATCATGTTACACAAGAGCTGAAAGCTGTGGCCCAGTTTCTACCTCTAGCCTCCCCTGCTGCTGCTGCTGCCACTACATCCATCTCATCAGACATGTCCTTTTTTGCATTTATATTATTTATTATTAAAATGACACCTCCTTGAAGTGAAAACGTATACATTTCATTGAGTAGGAGCATGCAGCTTTATTGTTTTCCACTACTTTTTATTTTCAGTATCAAGCTGTTACTGATGCAAAGCATGGTGGTTGGGGATCTGTTTGCTTTATACTGCAAAATCTACACTAAGAATAATAATTGATTATAACAATTGATAATGATGCAGGGAATCTGCTGTTTTTCAGAGGCCTCCCAGAATACCAACAACTTCCTGATTCTGCCATTTGGCTGATATGAGGCCAAAACACCTTAGAGAAACTTTGTAGAGTAGTGTTTAGTAGATTCAGAAATAAAGTAAAATGAAAGCATAGCTCAGGATTGTTTGTTTAAAGCACTCTAACCCCAATCTTCAGTTGTAAAAAGTATCCCAGAGTGGCTTACAGTTATCATGGCCCTCAAGCTTACTGTCTAAAAAACACAACACAAGAGGAAAAGGAATTGGTCAGGAGGAGGAGCAAAGCAAACTTAGGCACTAGTTCTTCATTAGAGAGTTCTTATAATGACCAGTTGGAATGAAAAAGCATTCATGGTGAGAAGGAGCCAAATTTGGTACAGTCTAAGGTGAGCAGCTGGAACAGCCTTGAATTCCCATCTCCCCTCTGTTGCTGCCTGATTTGCTATAGCTAGTGGGAAAGAGCATGTGCTTTACATGTAGTATGGGTGGGGAACCACTGTTGTTTGACGAGATGGATCAGAAAGCAATAATATTTAATGAGCGACTCCCAATAATTTGACCTGATATAAGGCAGGGACAGCATACTGAAGCAACAGCATTGCACCTTGCTGAGAAATCTCCCTCGTAAAGTGATGTTTAGTGCAAGTCATCATTTATAATCTACCCACTGTGATATTTTATTTTTGGCAAAAGTTTCTTGAATAAAATGCACTGAACCTTGCAGTGGATGAACAAACACTGTTTTCCCTCCCCTCCGCAGCGTACAGCCCTCCCTCCTGAACGTGATGGCTTGTGCATAGAGCACATGATGCTTATTCCTAAAGGCAGTGCAAGAGGCTTTGGACATATAAGACCGTAATTGGCTGACTGGCTTTATCCCTGGAGCTCTGAGGAAGCTTCGGAAACAATATCATTACTCACAGGATAAGAGGGCCTTGTGAATTTGTGGGTGGAAGGTAGATCAGGATCTGCTTACTGGTGGATCTCTGGATGATTTGGTGTAGATCTTCATGGGTTTCTGGCTCCCAGTTGCTTAACAGTAAAAAAGTAAAGGTAAAGGTACCCCCTGACCGATAGGTCCCGTCGCGGACGAGACTGGGGTTGCGGCGCTCATCTCGCTTTATTGGCCGAGGGAGCTGGCGTACAGCTTCCGGGTCATGTGGCCAGCATGAGTAAGCCGCTTCTGGCGAACCAGAGCAGCACACAGAAACGCCATTTACCTTCCCACTAGAGTGGTACCTATTCATCTACTTGCACTTTGACGTGCTTTTGAACTGCTAGGTTGGCAGGAGCAGAGACTGAGCAACGGGAGCTCACCCCGTCGCGGGGATTCGAACCGCCGACCTTCTGATCGGCAAGTCCTGGGCTCTGTGCTTTAGACCACAGCGCCACTCGCTTCCCCCGTTGCTTAACAGTAGCAACAGCTAAAATGGCTTTCCTCACCTAAAATAAGCTGCTAAGATGAACAATGCTTACCAGGAACAGACTCCTGTGTAAGCTAAGGTCAGTGTCAGCGCTGCCAAGAAATTCTTAGACTTAAAATGTTTTCATTGGTGCCTGGTTCTTTAATTATAATAATTTTATTATTTAGCACCTGATGCTGGTCATAGAATCATATAGAATTGTAGAGTTGGAAGGGACCCTGAGGGCCACCTAATCCAAGCTCGTGCAATACATGAAATCTTTTGCCCAATGTGGGGGTCAAACCCACAACTTGGAGATTAAGAGTCTCATTTTACAAAGTGAGCTATCCCAGGATAGATGATAAATCCTGGTTTCTAGTAAAAAAAAAAAAAAAACACCACACAGAACAAGCACAAGTGGATTTGACAAACCTGAAGTCCATGCTTTAGAATAAAAATAATCTTCTACAATGACTCTCGTACTTGGGTCTGTCTCTTTCTTTTCTGGAGCAGCTCCCACTCAATATTGGCAGCAAAAAAAGCATTTGTCTGGTGATGCCTCACAGAATAGTTGAGAAAGCAGATGTTTTTAATTCTCAATGGATGCTAACATGATTTTCCCCCTCCCCCAAACAGCAGGCAGAAGGCTCTCTGTCCCTCAAATTTGCCTTAAATCCATTTCTCTACCTGAGTCCTGGTATTTAAGCAACTCTGATTTCCTTCAGCCCACACTCTCAGGTTTCCCGAGCATGGGAGACGTTGATACTATTCGGAAGACAAATTCTAGAAAGATGCATTAGACAGCCTTCTCTTCTGTGTGTGGAGATTCCCCACTTGTAGTTCTTCCATTAGGACATAATGGGAATCAGGCCTCTCGATCTATCATAATTGAGTTGACAATGCAAAGGGTTCTCCCTGTTCTGCTTATCTTTAAGGCTCTTTAAACAGTCTTCTATGTGAAAGCAGTGTGATGCACAGAATTCAGAACTGGTGCATCAAACCTTCTAGGTACCACTTCACTCCTATATAATTCTGATTGAACTGTAATGATTACCACAGTCCATTAGGAAGGTCTTGTCTGCAAAGATTCTTTGAAATGAATATTGTTAATCCATCAGCTGTCAGTGGCTGCTAGCGACAATATCTGTGCTCTGTCTCCATGAATACCAGTTGCTGGAAACCAAAGACGAGGAGACTCCTCATTTGGTTATTTGGGGTTAATTGTTTTTGCCTCCTTAGTGTTCCACCCCCAACATTTTTTGCACTTCTACAAACCTAGGGGCATGATGCCTCCCTCATGGTGTTTTGGCTACAAAACATTACCAATAGAACAGATTGCCTCACCATTTCCCCCCTCATGGTGAGCCGCTGTGGAACTCCCAATATTTTTTATGTCTTCAGACCATAGTATGTGAAATACTTTGCATGTGTGTGAACTGGACATGCATTTGCGGAATAGCTTGCTATTTTCATAACTAATAAAAGAGGTCCAGCTGATTTGGCTATAGTTCCTCCCTTGGGTGTGCTGCTTTTGTCAAGTTCGGGTTTTCCTGTGGAACATTGTGTCCCTCACTGGATCCCTCCCTTTACCAAATGTTGTGTGTGTCACTGCCAATCCCAGGAATCAAATGCCTGGGAGCCAGGCCATCTCCCCAAATTTTACATTTCACTTCTGGTTTCTGAGACATTTGGTTCATATCTTCAGACTCTCTCTGCCTGCCTGTCCCTTTCAGTGATTTAATTTTGCTTTATTTTTGCTGAAATACAAATGTTCTGAATTTGTTGCTGCTTTTTCAAAGGCAGAATATTACATAATCATTCGTCTTCGGGAATTAGGTTTAAACAGAGAACCAGCCCGCTATTGCAGCATTGGTAGCACTAGGTTTAGCTAGCCCTTTACCTCTCCATCGTCATCATCCCTTTCCTGCATTTTAGTTCTCTGTTTGCCAGTTTAAAACTGAACTGACACACTAGGTTCAAATCAAACAGCAAAATCATTGGTGCTTTAAGGTTACTTTTGGTATTTTTACCTCATTGTTTTTGCAACAACAAGATAAGTTTGCAATAAACTTGCTGGCCTGTTTAGTCTTTGGGATTAATTAGGAATATATTCAAGAGGACTTTTTTGCGCCACCCTCCCCACCCATGGTGATTGCAATGTGGGGTAAGCGGATGGAAAGGAAAAGTGATAAAGCAGAGGAGGAGATCTTCAGGCATGGGGGACCAAATATGATCCTGCAGGGCTCTCTGTCTGGTCCTCAAGTCTCTCCCAAGCCACCACCCCACTGTCTTCCCCAGGCCACACACCTCACTGGCTCTGCTGCACACACTCCAGGAGTATTTTTGCCTGGCTGGGATGTGTCATTGAACTCTCATAATGCTTCTTGTTTACCATAATGGAGGATTAGAGATGTGTGTGTAGGTAGAAACTTTCCTTCTGTGCAAAGATAACCTTTATATTAGCTTCTCAGCCTGCATTTGCCTCTGGCCTCAGTCACTGCTAGCATCCGGTGCTCGGAATATTGCCCTGAAGGAAATGTGGCTATCAGTCTGAAATCCCTCAGCCCTGTGCTAAAGCATTCAATAACTTTTCTCGGATATTTCTGGCCTTATTCTTTTACCACCGCCTGGGCTATCCTACCTTTACAAGTTTGTTGGGAGGATAAAATGATGGGGTCGGTGGGTGGGAAGACCATGTGTGCCACCACAAGCTTGTTGAAAAGGGGGGGGGGACATAAATGTAATGATTATTGTGAAAGCAGCAACCAAAATGATGTGATAAAAGGAGAAAGGTGGTGGCAAAGTGCCCTGATGACATTCTGAAGTTTTGCAGACTGAAATTCATTAGGAGGTTCATGGTTATCTGAGGACAAAGACAGCCCTCTTGCTTGAGCTGGTGTTGCTGAGAGCCACAAAGGGGAATATTTCCCCTTTTTATCTTGGTTTTGAAATTAAAATGAGATTCTCAGCTGGTGGGAGTTGGATGTGTAGCAATTTTTAAGTTTGCTTGTAAGACAGGAGGGACCTGGTGCTTCAGAGATAAGGATTCAAGACAGGAAGTTCTCAGCCTGGGGTGTGCGTGTGTGCTTTTTCACTCCCACCCCCAAATTAGAGCAAAGTGCCTTGGTCTGTGTGCTTTTTAGGTTTCCGAGAATAACCATCTTACAGAAACCATCCAGAGTTTGGAGTGCAAGAACTCAGAAGGAGGTAATTAAAATTTTACTCAATTAGCTATTCATGGATCAATCCTGATCCAAGTTCAGTGGTTTAAAAGGCTATGGTATGTTTTTTGCAGACAATTAACTGAGGTTTAGTAACTTCGCTGAGTATTCTAATTTATTTTCAATAAATTACGATGCAGAATTGAAACTATGTTGCTGATTGTATGAGGAAATAACATAGTGTTTCATTTTGCTGTTGTTAAATAAAGATTTGCACATTGCTTTTAACTGATTTCAGTATTGCATTTTCACCTTAAGGTCCCAGGATGGGTTACAACAATAGAAAATGCAATAGTGAAATCAGTTAAAAGCAATGTGCTGTTTTTCTACTAGCTCCCAAAAAATAATTCAACAGAGTTGGGGAATCTCAGGCTCAGGAGCCTGATGTGGCTCTCCAGGCTTCTATTTGGCCCTTGGCACTCTCTCCCCAGGCCACACCCCTCACTTTCCCTGTTTCTCACCCTTCCTGAATGTTTTTGCCCAGCTGGAATGTGTCATTGAATGTGTCATTGAACTTTGATAAATGCATCTTACTCACCTGGAAGGAGGATAGGAAAAGATGTGTGCCTTTGGCATGAGCCTCTGACTTGGCCTGTAACTACGCCTAAGTAGATACGTGGAACTGAAGCACTCACATATTGCTCCTCTCTTAATTCCTGCCTCTTCTTTCTCCCTCTCCCTTTTTGGTTTCTGCTGTGTTGTATTTTGCCTACCAGCCTCATTTCCAACAGGAGAGGGCGGACCAGAGGTCTCAATACGCAGGTGGTCTCATACAGGAGCAAGAGGCCTTTCGGATTATTACTTTTTTTACTGGTGAGCTCAGGATAACAGTGCTCACGTTGGCATAGTGTGCAATGACAACTTGTGGAGGAACTTGGGTCCGCTTAGCTCAAAATTGTATGCATTGCCTGGCTATGCTTCTCCAGGGTTTCAAGCAGAGCACCCCACCCCCCGTGTCATACCTTTAGATGGCGGAAACTGAACCCAGGATCTTCTGCATGCAGGTCATATGCCATGACATGGTCTAGAGCCTTTTCAAACACTCTGGCTGTGTCCTTACCTGTCCTGTTCTAATTCTTTGGGACAAGGTGAGAACAGCATCCTATACAGTTAAGGAAAGGCAGGAGATAGAGATGCAGTTGAACATAATGTGAAAACAAGTGTGTGTTGGGGTGGAATCCATGGGATGCAAGCATTTGTGCAAAGGATTTGTTTCAGGGGTTTGGTTTTGGTTTTTGCTTGAGGATTTCTCCTAGAGTCTTCTTTACTCTGAGCGCATACTTGCATATATCTCAGTCTCCGTCTTTTCCCCCTTGTTCCCGTGCCCCACAAAAACTTCACCATCATCTGTCCCCTTCAAGCAGTTCCCACACAACATTTGCCAAAGAAAATTGCCAGAGGAAATGGGGGCATTTTTTTGCCTTGGTACCTTTGACCTCCTTCCAAGTAGTTGCAGTGACTGGCTGTTCTCCAGCATTTAGCTGTGTTGGATAGAAGTTTGTTTGTTTGTTTGTTTGTTTGTTCGAAAGGATAGAGGGGGAACCGGAACAATTAGAGACAAAGATTCATCCTCCCCCTCCCCAAACAGCATAGATTATAGTTTCTGCAGGGAGAGCAAAAGACTTTGCCAAATGAGAAGGGACAAACTTCAATGACAAGCAAGACAGCAGATTTCTGTTGTTATTGTAACACTGTTGTTTTCTGTAGCACAATAGCTGCATATGGCATTTTGCAGAGTCACACGTGCATATCATGACTGAGTGAGGATTTGAATCAAGGTTTTCATGGCTCTAGTCTGGCACACTAACCACTGTGCTGCACTGTCCATATTTTGACATTGGTCAGGATCACAAAAAGAGGGGAGGAAGAGAGATGCTGGGGATTGAACCTTGGTCTTCCTTGAACCTTAACCAGCAAGTTGATGGTTCTGTATTTCTGGAAGTTAAGAAATACAAAAAAATTAATAATGGGGATCTCAAGTCTTTTAAGTCTTGGTCCTTAAGAAGTCAAAAACATCACCTTCCAGATACAAGGGGGAAGTGGCAAAAGGCTTGGGATAACCCAAAGTTATGCAGAAGTTCAACAAAAAAGGGGGAGACACACCCCAAGCATCCCAATGAGAACTGAGCCTCCTCCATGGCCCTAAACTCTTTACTGACCACAGGGAAAGGAACTGTAGGGGAAGGGGGCTAGAGTATTTTGAAAAGAGGGCAGGGGGTGGAATATACTGGAAGGGAGCATGACTGAACAGTTGCACTCCACACTGTCAGGTGGATTGTAGCTCAGTGGTGGAACATCTACTTTGCATGCAAAAGTTCCCAGGTTCAAACCCCAGTTATGTCCAGGTAGGACTGGGAGAAACTCATTTCTCATTTATGTTAAGTTTTGCTGATGCTGGCTCCCAGCTGCCCATCTATCCCAGAATGAGCTGTGTGTTTATCATGCTGCTGTGAGCAAGGATGCTATCGGATCTGAGTGGGCTGGGTGGATTTAATTCCCGCAAATCCTCTCCGGAATTATTTATCTTGGTCAATCCTGTGGGTGTCTGGGAGTAACATCAAGGAGAAAAGCTGTTTATGTCTGGCATGCAGCTTCTCGGAACTGTAAACCGAATCTGACTTCTGCTTAATATATAGATAGAGCAACACACCAAAGTTCCAAAGTTGTGGTTTTCCCATTGTGAAGATGTGTCTGAAGCATAAGAGAAACCAAAAGTTAAAATTATAACCCTAGCACAATTTTGTTTAAAGGTGGCAATTGGAGAAGATCATGTTTATTTATTTGTACGCAGTAAGCTTACTTGTTATGCACAAAGATGGATAGCAGTTTGGTTCTCTGATGCCATTTCAGAAAATCAGCTTCTTTTGAGCAGCGATTTCGAATACAGTAGTGCAGGGTCCGTGTGTGTGTGTGTGTGTGTGTGTGTGCATGGCCCATTCCATGCCTGTCCTTCAATTGCCCCCTTTTTTCAGAAGGTGCCCCAAAGGTGTGTTTACCTATGTTTGGAACACCTGTGAGGGAAAAGAACTTGGGGGGAAGGGGGCACTGATTCAGAATAGCGGAATCAGGGATAAGTGGTAAGCCACCCACCCCTCAATTTTAAGAATTGCAACCCTCAGCAATGTTCAAGTGGTCCATGGCGGTGGTGGTGTTGAGTTTGGGAGCCACTGTATTAGAGACAGACATACAGCATATAGATCAAAAATTGAGTTGTTGTCCTTTGGAGTGACAGCCAGAAATTTGAAGGGTGCAATAGCAGTTCATGTGAGTTTCTTCCTATTGTGCATTGTTTAAAAGTACGGTAATTCTGTCAGAAACAAAGGTCTCAGCCCTAGCTAACACACAGCAGTCTTAGCAGGCTGGAAAATAGCCCCCGTTTGCAGATAAAATATATTAACCATGGCCTTGAAGAAAGCGTCAACACCCAGCATACTGCAGGCTGCTGCCATGTGATCTGTTTCACAGGTGAACTTTTTTAGGCCTTAAAATAAAATTCAGCAGATGGAGGAGCATGCAAGCTATTAATGGTTCTTTAAAAATGACAATGAAGTCACTATTAATGAAATAAATATTATTATTAGTTTATTTCTGGGTTTTGCTTTCTCATCTGAGTTTGCCATGGCTCAGCTTCTTATACTGTTGCTCCTTGCTACATTCACCCATTTCTGGGACTGGTTCAGACAACCTTTGAAAAATCTGGTCTTGCCCTAAATGAAATCTCTGTTGGGAGGCAGTATGCCTCTTAAAACCAGTTGCTGGGAATCTCATTTCATTAGTTGTGATTGCACCATATTCTGCAGCCCTGCAGAGGAACAGCTGGTTCCCTTCTCCCAGAACTGCCCACCACTAGGTTTGTTGACATTGTCTGAAAGGTTTGGGCCTTTAAACTACTGGGCAGTGGGCAGGAATTCATAAGCTGAACTCATTGCTTGCTATAGCTTCTCAAACGTGTCTGTTGAATTTTTAAATTTTTTTTTGCCAATAGTGACACAGATAGCACCACAGGAGTGTGCCAGAAAATGTGAAGTTCTCTTTATTATTGGTAATGCCATAACCTTTTTAAGAATAGCTCAAATCACATATAGCACATTCTGAAGAGGGAAAACCAGAAAAAATAAAAGGCATTTTGTTATTTTGAGCCAAGCTTGTAGGACCTGTTTCGTTGTTCTTGTTGTTTTGCTAAAGGGACAGCGGGAGGTACAAACTGTTAGGTAGCAATAGGCTCATTTGTCATTTATATATATAATATGTGCAATTCTTCTATTGTCAGTTTAAGTTCCACCACACTGAAACCCAGCCAAATCTTTGCAATGAAAAAGATACAAAATGTTTGGGTGGAACTATAAAGCTCCAGGTTTGGGAATTTGGAACCACAGCTGTGATTTTTTTCTCCCACAGTAAAGCATTTGAATTCTGCTTCATTGTGCACACTTCACAGAGAGTATTCTGCAAGGGAAATGAGATTAGGGGATCTGAAAGGGAGAGAGAACGAGAGTCAGACAGAGGCTCTTCAGGAACTAGCACTGCTCAGGACCTCTTTCTCCCTTCTACCACCAAACACTGGCCATCTGTTGAGAACAGTTGGCCAGAGATGGAACTCAGGAAGTTGCATTGAACCAGCATAGAACATAGGAACCAAGTCAGACGATTGGCCTGTCTAGCTCAGTATTGTCAACACTGAATGGCAGCAGCTCTCTAGGGTTTCAAGGTAGTAAACTCTCCCAGCCCTACCTGGTAATGTCTTGAGATCGAAACTTTTGAATGCAAAGCAGAAGCTCTGCCTCTGAGCTTTGGTCTGTCCTACAAATGCCAGGCTGTTGATTCTTGTAGCTTAGCATTGTTGGCTTACCGTCTATGTGATCCCTTTAACTGATGGCAACGCTGCTGGTAATATGTTCTGCAATTCAAGCAGTGGTGTAGGAGTAAAGACTTGAGGGCAGATACCTCTTTAAACTTTTATCATTACACAATTCTATGCACCGCTTCTCTGCTTGCTTCTTGATCTTAGAACTTGGCCGTACTGGAGTTTCCTAGTCTTTTCAGTCTCCCCCAAGCTGTTTCCCGAACTTTTCCCTCCCCCCCCCCTCCAGATTTCATGTGGGGAAAGATGGGCCACAACTGTGTGCAGTATTCTTAGCCCACTGGCTCACTTCAAGGAACATTGGGCTATTTTTTGCAAAGCTGTGTTTCAAACCGCATTTCCCCCCTGAAGTTCCCCCAGATTGCGGCTTGCACGACATTTCCCCATGGGTCCGTTGTGGAGCGACAAAGTGGCAGCCAGAAGACAACATTGGGGAGAGCAGGACCTGGAAAGCAAATAGGTATCTCAAAATGACAGAGTGAAATATTTCCACTTGGGAGACACGAGACAGAGATGCCTTTGCTCTAGGAGTCTGGATCCCTGCCACCTGAACCACAAAACCTAGTTTAAAAAATAAAATAAAATACTCCTAGACTGAAGTTAAGCATTACCTAGAATGGATTGTTTAGACAGAGGTAGCTTTTTCTTTCTTTAAATATATACAGTCAGAATGCAGTTAAATCTTCCTTCTGCAATGCTTCTGGGCTTAAACCGAGCCATCTTGTTTATGCCTGTCAGTCTGTACCAGACTAAATATTTTTTTAAAGCAGCCCACAGAATATATATCCCCATACACATTTGTTAGAGTAAGTCTCAGCTTCTTACACACTGATACTTCATAATATGCCTAATTTTTGGCTACTTCCAGACAAGCCAAGAAGATAGAACTTAAGTAGATTTATTATTTTATATAATTTTGCTTGTATCTTTGTTGCTTTGTATCTGGCAGCCATCAAAGCTCATTTGACTTAGGACAGGGTATTTTCAGTAATAGTACCTAGGACAGGGATTGCCCTACCTATGTTGTTGGACTCCCATCTCCCTTCAGCCCCAGCTAGCATGGCCAGTGATGAGAGAGCAGCACTAGGTTGGGGAAGGTTGCATTAAAGTTCGACTCCCCACACAGCCACTGATTTGCATTCATGATGTGCAATGCAGTTACCAACATAATGCAGGTGAAGGGAACTTTTGGCCCTTAAGATGTTACCGAACTTCAACAGCATGACCAATGGTCAGGGAAGATGGGAGTTAAGCAACATCTGGAGGGCCGAAGGTTCTCCTCGCCTGACATAATGTTAGAATGGGAAATCTGTGGCCCTCCAGATGTTGCTGAACTACAACTTCCATCATCCCTGACCATTGCCCATGCTTGCTGGAGCTGATTGAACTTTGATTCCAATAACTCCTAGAATATAATATATTTTCAGGAAGTTCAGCTGATTATTATTAGATTTTCCACTATACAGATGAAGATCAAGGACAACAAAGACATTAAAACTTCTTGCAGCTGCCTTTAAAATAGAGGCCATGATGAGTTTTAAATTGTATAAATTATAAACGAGTTTGCTAATACAGTGGTGCCTCGCAAGACGAAATTAATTCGTTCTGCGAGTTTTTTCATCTAGCGAATTTTTCGTCTTGCGAAGCACGAAATCCCATAGGAATGCATTGAAATCCAATTAATGCGTTCCTATGGTCAAAAAAAGTCCAAACAAAGCCAAATTTGGTACAACAAGAGTTTATTAAGTGCTCTTTAAAGTCACACATACTGTAAAGAGCATTTCAAAAATTGAAGGAACAATAAATTAAGTTTCTAAACATGACAGGAAAAACATTTAAAAATCAACAAAGTGTACATTACATTTTCTAAGACTCTGGGGGACCACTCTTCCACTCTTTGCTTCTTGCTGAAGAACCTGTCCATGTCTGCTGCTTCATCCGCCTTTTCAGCACCTCCCTGAAAGGCGACATGACCGTCGTATCAAAAGTGTTCGCAAGGTCATGTGCCACGTGCTTGTTAGGGTGGTGCCGCTCTGCAAAAGCCTGCACAGCCTTCCACTTCATGCAAATGTCCCTCAGTTCTTTGGAGGACAGCCGTTCCTCAGTTGCTTCCTCCTCTTCCAGCGAGGCCTGCTCCTGCGCAGCCTCTGCCTGCAGTTCGACCAGCTCCTGGGTGGTCAGCTCGTGGTCGTGCTCCTCCACCAGCTCGCAGACGTCCTCCTCTGTGACCTCCAGGCCCATGGTCCTCCCCAAGGCAACAATGTCCTGCACCACTGTTGACTCTGGTGCATCAGAGTCACTTGGTGCCACACAGTCTGGCCACAGGCTGCGCCAAGCGCAATTCAAATTTCTCTGGCTGATCCCTTTCCAGGCCGTGGTGATCATCTTCAAGCAGGTGACGATGTCGAAGTGGTCCTTCCAGAATTCCCGCAGGGTGATGGTGGTGCAATCAGTCACCTCGAAGCATCGCCTGAAAAGCTCCTTGGTGTAGAGTTTTTGAAATTGGCGATGACCTGCTGATCCATCGGCTGGAGCAGTGGCGTGGTGTTAGGCGGCAGGAACATGATGTTGATGAAGCTGAACTCCTCCAACAAGTCCTCCTCAAGGCCTTTAGGATGAGCAGGAGCATTGTCCATCAGAAGCAAAGCCTTCAGCGGCAGGTCATTGTCCAGCAGGTACTGTTTGACAGCAGGGCCAAAAGCAAGATTGACCCAGTCCACAAACAGCACATGTGTGACCCAAGCCTTACTGTTGGATCGCCACATGACACTCAGCTGCTCCTTGTCGACCTTGTGTTTCTTGAAGGCCCGTGGGTTCTCCGAGTGGTACACCAGCAGGGGCTTGATCTTCAGGTCGCCGCTTGCGTTGACACAGAAGAGCAGGGTCAGACGGTCCTTCATGGGCTTGTGGCCAGGCAACTTGGCCTCCTCCTGACTGATGAAAGTCCTTTTGGGCATCCTCTTCCAAAACAGCCCGGTCTCGTCGCAGTTGAAGACCTGCTGTGGAACGTAGCCCTCCGTCTTCACAGCCTCCAGGAACTCCAATGCAAAGTCTTCAGCCGCAGGAACATCAGAACTGGCAGCCTCTCCATGCCTGACCACGCTGTGGATTCCAGATCTTGTCTTGAACCGGTCAAACCAGCCTCTGCTTGCCTTGAAGACTTCTGGCTCGCCTGAGGTTCCTGGCTGTTCCCAGACGAGGTCTGCGTGCAAGGCCTTGGCCTTCTCACAAATGACGGCCTCAGTCACTGTGTCCCCTGCACGCTGCTTCTCTTCTAACCAGATGAGCAGCAACTTCTCGACCTCCTCCAGAACAGCTGGGCGGTTCTTCACGATCCTGGTGACTCCCTTGGCTGCATCAGTCGCAAGGATCTTCTCCCTCATCTTCAGGATGGTGCCGATGGTCGATGGGTTCCTGCCGTACTCCCTGGCGAGGGCTGTCACACGCATTCCATCGTCGTGCTTCCGGATGATCTCCTTCTTCATTTCCAGTGTCACCTTCTCCTCCTTCCTCTCGCCGGCCTCTGCAGCAGCAGTCTTCTTGGGTCCCATGGCAGCACAGCTCCTAGCTTCGTAAACTCAGAAAAAAAAAAAATCAGTGCTTCACACCCAAAAAATTCAAAAGCACCCAGCCACCCACCACACAGGAATTCAAACCCAGAACCAAGTCCTTGAATTCCAAACACCCAACCCAAAATCCAAAAACCCCCCAAAAAGTTTTAAAAGTTTAACTTACGAAATGGCTGCAAATCACCAAAGTCTTCAAAATCCTCAAATGGCTGCAAAAGAAGTTTTGGAAAAGCTTTAAAAATACCAAAGTCTTCAAAAACCTCAACTGTTCCCCCAGCCACCCACCTACCACACAGAAATTGCAAACCCCTCCCCAACTGTTCCCCCAGCCACCCACCACACAGAAATTCAAACTCAGAAATTTTTTTTGAAAAAAGACAACATGGCCCAATGGTCACAGAAAATCATAAAAATTCAAAAAAACCCACACAAGCTCCCAGATTCTTGCAAACCCCTCCCCAACTGTTCCCCCAGCCACCCACCACACAGAAATTCAAACTCAGAATTTTTTTTTGAAAAAAAACAACATGGCCCAATGGTCACAGAAAATCATAAAAATTCAAAAAAAACCACACAAGCTCCCAGATTCTTGCAAACCCCTCCCCAACTGTTCCCCCAGCCACCCACCACACAGAAATTCAAACTCAGATTTTTTTTTTTGAAAAAAAGACAACATGGCCCAATGGTCACAGAAAATCATAAAAATGCAGAAAAACCCACACAAGCTCCCAGATTCTTGCAAACCCCTCCTCAACTGTTCCCCCAGCCACCCACCACACAGAAATTCAAACCCAGATTTTTAAAAAAACAACAACAGCAGAGTTCCCCAATGGTCACAGAAAATCATAAAAATGCAGAAAAAAACCACACAAGCTCCCAGATTCTTGCAAACCCCTCCTCAACTGTTCCCCCAGCCACCCACCACACAGAAATTCAAATGCACCCTGGGTATTAACGGTTTTACGAAAAAGGAAACAAACTTGCAAGACATTTTCGTCTTGCGAAGCAAGCCCATAGGGAAATTCGTCTTGCGAAGCAGCTCAAAAAACGGAAAACCCTTTCGTCTAGCGAGTTTTCCGTCTTGTGAGGCATTCGTCTTGCGGGGCACCACTGTATTATTTTATTATGTGCATTGTTGCATTCTTCTGTTTATACTTTGTAATGGCTGGTGTTTTGAGTCTGGTAAGTTGTGTTCATACGTGTTTGTACCTTACACCCAAACTGCAGAGGCTAGTCGCTAATGCAAATATCTGTCTATCCATCTCTCTATATCTGGAGGGTTGCAGTCTCCCCACCCTCAACATAATTCATTGAATTTAGAAGAAAGACTTCTGCTGCTTTTATATCCCATAGAGCCCTCTAACACCGGCACACTTTGACGCCTCTTTGCCTTTTAGCTTCTCATTTTATGATCTGTGCTTGCATTTGACAGCACCCTGATCGTTGCCATTTTATCGCGCCACCTGAGTTTCAGTAACTCGTCTTAGGTCACTGTGAATCAGCGTGCGAGTCGGAAGTGTCTCCTCTGCCTCATCTGCTCTGCCAGGCAACAGGGCCATCAATTCCACAAAGCAATGTGAAGCTGCAGGTTCTGGAAGTGTGTGGCTTTGCGTGCCTTTCTCTAGTCTTCAGTCTTCCCTTTCCAGGTATCATTAACACAATGAGTTTTGGTTCAGGGTAGTCATCAGCAGGGTCAAAGTTTGTTGCTCCATAAAAAAGTTATTAGTAGAACTAACTCCTGGACTCCATATCTACCAGCAAAGGTCCACAAGTGAAAGAAGTAGCGTTAAGAATGGTCTCCAACCACCACCAGTACTGGTCTTGTATGCACTTCCAGATAAGAACATTGGAAGTTACCTTATACCAGGTCAGAGTATATGTCAGTCTAAACCAGAGTATTATGGTCTACTCTGACTGGTAGTAGTTCTTCAGGGCAGCCACCCCTTACTTGCTGACTGGGGTTGATGGGAGTTGGGATACAATGGGGGTTAAGGGCAG